CCCCTAGTAGCTTATTGTTACTAGTAGCGATGCCAGGAGCCCCTAGTAGCGTCCTTGCTCCTAGTAGTACGGCCAGGAGCCCCTGGTAGCTTATTGTTACTAGTAGCGGTGCCAGGAGCCCCTAGTAGCGTCCTTGCTCCTAGTAGTAAGGCCAGGAGCCCCTAGTAGCTTATTGTTACTAGTAGCGATGCCAGGAGCCCCTAGTCCTTTTTACTAATAGCTTGGGGTCGCCAGGCTTGGAGACGTTGCTGCTCTCTTTTAACTGCATCGAATCTTTGAGTGCCATACCACCATGTTTGGGCCTCGGAGCCTCAGCTCTTCCTGCTCATAGATCCTGCTCGTAGATGCTGTCAATGTTTGTTTGTTTTCTTCCAGCACGGATTGCAACAAGTCAGCTTTGGATGTCTTTGATACCATTCCAGGGATCCTGCGGTCTGGAAATGATGTTACATTAAGAGTATTCAGTATTCTTATGTGATTTGGTCAACACGCTTGCTGAGCAAGGTCGCATAACACTGACACGACATTTTTCTGAGATTTGAGACACTCACTCACCCACCCACCCACACACGCACGCACGCACTCACGCAAGCACGCACACAACCACGCACGCAGGCACGCACGCACGCACGCAGGCAGGCAGGCATGTAGGCATGCGAGCATGCGGGCATGCAGGCACGCATGCAAGCCAGCTAGCCAGCCATGCATGAAGTAGCATTCTGGCGGTCAAGCTGCATTCTCCATCGGGTTCAATAAGCTCATGATTCGGGGATCTTGCAATTAGGATCCCCTTAGCTGGAGTTGTTGCATTGTAGGTTCACAAGAACCACCTGTAATCATCCAACTTTTCTCTTTAGAGAAACAACCAAATGCAGCCTGACCAAGTTGCTTTGTTGCTGATCCAGGTGAGACGTTGGTTTCTTTGGTGGAGAGCTCAAGATTCTCATTCCCAGAATCCAACAGATTGAATCTATAACCACCATTTTAAACCTCTTGATTTCTCTCAATTGCAGATATTCACAGTGTCAGAATGGCAGGACCACAGCTGGAAAAGCAGGTCTTGGCTTGTTGCATTGACCGTTTCCAAAACAACAACACAGATCCGTACACCAAGGATGTCGCCCACAACCTCGTTCAGAGGATTCACACCTTGGTGGGCTTTCCCGTTTGGAACTCAGAACATTTTAGTCAACTTCCTTCCAAATCTCTGGGAGCTGTAAAAACACAAAGAACATCACTGGATTTTGCTATAGTAAGCCGAGGAACCAAGACAGAGAAGCCACTAGTAACAAAGGGCTTCGCTACTAGTACTACTAGGAGCAAGGCATCGCTACTAGTAGCATGATTCTCCCAAGGCAGTCTTCACCAAGACAGTCTTTTGTCCCGTCAAATCGCCCTTTGCCTGGCCTGAGGCTTTGCGAGAGCTCGATCTAAGCTGGAATCAGTCAGGAGCACAGAACACTGCAGGAATGTCCACAAAATCAATTCTCTAGCAACGTTAATGTATGCTGTATGCTACATGACTCTTTGCTTATCGATAGAAAAGCCTGGCGGGCAGTCACGTGCCAACTGACGTCCTCCGTCCAAACCCCAACTGTTACATAGCACATTACACATAGACAATTCCACGAAAAAAAAACTGGAGTGCTCGAGGCTGTTTGATCATGAAAACCTCATTGTCTTGGGACGTGACGTGCCACGTTTGGAGAGCTTGGTGCTGGGCCCAGTTGGTGATGCGATGTCCATTTTTCGCTGGTCTCCACTAGAACGACTTGCCTTTCGGAAAGCCAGTTGAGTCAGCAAGCTTTTGACGGGGTCAGCGCCCAGCTAGCGAGCTGGACTTTGAACGTGAGGATGTTCGTGGAAACCGCTTGGTGGACAGCCGTGCCAGATCCGTGAACAAGCTGCCTTCCTTAAGGAGCCAGCGGCCTTTGGTTGAGCCTTTAAGCGAATGTCTCCAAGCGCATCAACTAACAAGACTCTTTTCATGGCTTTGTCAGTCCCTTCCAACACTTTCTGTGGGAGCAGCGGGTAGCGCTGATCCCTGGTCCAAGTTTAGCTCTTTTCACACGCTACTGTAGGAGTTGGTGTCAGAGTGATGTTTCAGGACGTTGGATGGCAAGGAGGTGACACCTGAGGAGATTCAGGTGCAGAGTTAGAAAGATAACATGTTCAACCTGTTGTTATTCCCTTCTGGAAAAAAGTGCAAAAACTGCACTTCAATCTTTGATGAGTACTGTATAGCACTGCAGTTGGCCTCTCGACTAGGCCTACCGAAACATGCAGCCTGTACAGATGAATGAGGACGACTGGTCGGGTTTGAGGTGTTAGTCAGATGTACACAGTCCTGAGTGCTGTTGTGTAGACTCTCGGCCCGCATCAACCAAGCAAGAGAGAGAGAGAGGGAGAGCGAGAGAGACAAGCGAGAGCGAGAGACAGGCGAGAGGGAGAGAGGGGGCATTATGGCTCAAGACCATACACAGGATGGTATCCTTTTGTTGACCAGCGCGTCGTTCCATGGCGGCCCATGGGGCTCCTATGTTATGAGTGTGGCTGGCAAGAAAGAAGTGGACAAGTATGGCCTTAGAGCCTTACGGCCTTCATGTAGCAGTCGGCAATGACTGAAGACGACCTAAGGTGACACAGGCCCATCTCCCTAGAAGCAACAGATGCTACAGACACTGCTGATGGTTCAGGACA